TGGTGGCAGGTTCAGAGGCGTTACAAGAGTAGGCCACATACTATATGTTGAGCTAAAGTTGCCAAATGGATTGAAACCATCTATGGCGATGGCAAGCCTCAAGTTCCTTGGATCATCTGCAAAAGTTGGGTGCTTTCTATCAAAGTCCTACCATGCCTCCCCGTCTGTTGGATGGCTCATTTCGCCGGTATTCTTCTCTCGCTTAGTCTCGTGTCATTCGACGTCCGCTGTTGTTCCTCAAGCAGCAAAGATCCTTTGCAACCTCGGTATTAGAGGAAAATGCCTCAAAACCTTATGAGAAACCCTCCTGCTACCATCTGCATCCTCCCATCTAGACTCTTTGCATTTTGGGCACGCTTGCAATTCCTCACAATCACCCAAAACAACACATAGTTATTCTTGCACACATGGATACTTTCATAACCTTGTCCCAATTCTCGAATATATTTGCATGCCTCCTTACATGATTTTGGTACGTTGCTACTCAGGAATGCATCTGACAGCAACGCCAATAGTGCATCAAAATAGCTGTTGCTAACTCGATAGTGGAACTTGATATAGAGTAACCTGACAAGGAAGGAGAATCTTGAGAAGGTAGATCCAGAAGAAACTGATTGCTTCAACTCATCCAACACTCAAACTTTGGGACTCTTCTAGCCCGCTCTTCAGATGTCAACAGGTTTTGAACTAAATCATCAAAATCTGGTAATATGTTATCATCGCGATCCTCCTACTCCTCCTCTGCAATCCAACCATCATGATGAGATCCATGCACATCTGATGGCTCTATAATGTCAGTACCTCCTCCCTCTTCCCCATGATGAATCCATGTGGTGTATGTGGGTGACATTCTGTGTATAAGTAAGTCGTCCTTCACCTCCTGCCAAGTTTTAACCACCTGGTTAAGACAATGTATACACATGCAAGGTATCTTTTGCTCTAGGTATTTTTGTTTAACCAAATCCATGAACTCTTCCACTCCTGCAATGAACGTCGGCGAGAATGGTCTCCCATTAGGAATCCAGGATCTATCCATCTGTTGCAGCAAAAGTATGCAAAGTCCATTAGAGTTTCGACCATTGGGTGGATAGTGGCAAAACTAGCATTAGAACAAAGCATACAGTGTTCGAGAGCACTAATCTATGCATTTGTTCATATCATACTATGGGACAATATAGTTTTCTATTTTTGTGTGATAAAAGCATTGATTTCAATTAAAATTCATACAGAATAGCCTTTATTTATGTGTTCCTTACTTTATCATGTATAGAAAATGGAGTTCTATAATCACAGAAGAAGGTACTCTTAACTTTGTTCTATGAACTGGCACGGCTCAACTGCAAGCCACCTCTGCCGTGGCACACACCTGATCACACAGACGCCAATGCCACCACGCTTCACCGGGAGAGCCCCGCCATGCCACCAAAAGGACGCCTAAGCCACCATAGCAGACCAGGGATCCTCTACCTCCGCCTTTGCCGCCACCGCCATCGCTGCCTCAAGTCCAGCGGGCACATATTTGTTTCCACTTGCAGGAGATATATCCAATTTAGGTCAACCTATAGGGCATCCACACAGCCAATAGGATACTATAGCGACTCCAAAGAGATGTCAGCACAACCAGGCGTCTAGCGCAATGGTAAAGATGCTCCAATCCTTGGTCCAGATCCCGTGTTCGACTCCTAGGTATCAGACCTTTTTTTTGAGAAATTAAACCCCGACGGCACACATGGTACAAGTGACACACAAACCGTCGGGTCCCATAGGTCAGATGGAGATGGAGAAATGTCCCATAGGTACACGTGACACGTAAGTCGTCGAGTCCAACAGGTCGGATGCAGAAGGACCGAGTGGAGACTTTTATGATGAATTGCAAGCGTCAAGTGACATGCAAGCCGTTGGGTCCCACAGGTCGGATGGAGATGGAGAACGGTCCTACAGGTACACGTGACATGTAAGCCATCGGGTCCCACGGTCGAATGCTGAAGGGTCTCGTAGGTACATGTCGGATGGAGAACGGACCGAGCGGAGACTTTTATGACGAATTGCAAGCGTCACGAATGAGTAACTACATGTCCCACATGTACACGTCAGATGGAGAAGGGTCTTATAGGTACACGTCGCATGGAGAAAGGATCAAGCGGAGACTTTTATGACAAATTGCAAGCGTCACGGATGAGTAACTACAGGTCCCATAGGTACATGTCGGATAGAGAAAGTACCGTGTGGAGATCTATAACGAAGCACCATTCATTATAGATCGAATATTGTTCGTCACAGATGTGTAATTAGTTCAATGATGAAGCCCTGTTCATCACAGTATTAAAGGAGATCGTCACAGATGAGTCGCGCGAGTGATCTGTGACGAAACCCTATGCTCTTCTATGACGGTTTTTATGACGATGCCTTATTTCGCCATAGATAGGGAGGGTTGAAGAATTGTCACCACTGATCTATGACGAAACGAAAAAATTCGTCATTAAAAGCGAACTTCTATGACGGTTTCGGAATCCTCATTAAGATTTTTATCATAGAAGTAGATATTTCTAGTAGTGTCAAGAACAGTCGCAATCATCTGCTTCACTCCCACTATAACTGAGGGAGAAGCTTCGCTCCTGCTACAAACTGAAAGGAGATGTTAGAAGTCAAGGTAAATACTAGAGATATTTGGAGTTGAAAAAACCCTAATGATAAATAAAGATAGAATTCTACAGAAAGACTAAGATTAGGCCTAGTACAACTTGGCTTATACTCTAAATCTCTCCTCATATGTACCAATAAATACCCCAGAGGGTCAATGCAACCGACATGTGAAAAACAACAGATCAACAACACATCGTTAGAGTTTTCATAATATCCACCCTTTTCCACACTCAGGCCCTAAAAGAAAAGTTCAGTTATACATATACATTGAAGCAAATGGAATAAGCACCCGCCAAAATTTGCACCCCTCGCAATAGAAAAAGGACCTGAACATTGAAGATTGGTTCTCCCAGCTGATAGGCAAAGGAAACAAGATGGCGCACTCACAGGCGATCATGATCACTTGGAGCATATGGAAAGCGGAGAAACGCGATAAATTTCAGGTAAAATAGGAAAGTGGCGCCAGAGGTTTTCGAGAAGATTAAGGATACATGCAATACTTGATAAATGGTGGCGCGAGGGGCGGGGGAGTCCTACAACCCCTTACTGTTGTAAGACCAAATAGTGAGCAATAGGCTTTTAGCTCTTCAATACCTCTGCAGCTTAGGCCGTTGAAGATAGCGCTCCTCGCGCTTGCAAACTAGTCGTGTTGCTACCTCCTTCTTATTATTTATGAAAAGCCAGGTAACTGGATTAAAAAAAAAAACAGATGGAATGAGCCAGATGCATGCAACGAGAGCTTCCTCAATCCCCCGGATGAGGTGATGAGGCAGAAAATATTATTCCAAGATGAAGCTGCCTGAAAGTGTATAGGCAGGCCAATAGAAGCAGCAACTTGCGCCGTTAGGGGGTATTTGATATATGGACTAAAGTTTAAGATGTGTCTCATCGGATATTACATGAGGTGTCGCATGAAGTGTTCGAATATTAATAAAAAAAAATAAATTATAGATTTCGTTAGTAATCCGCGAGATAAATTTATTAAGCCTAATTAATCCATCATTAGCACATGTTTACTGTAGCACCACATTGTCAAATCATGGACTAACTAGGCTTAAAAAATTCATCTCACAAATTAAACTCAATCTATGTATTTAGTTTCGTAACTAGTTTATATTTAATACTCTATACATATGTCAAATATTCGATGGAACAACGACTAAAAGTTTAGGAGGTATAACCTAACACCCCGTTAGATATTTGCGGAGCGGTATGGCGGCGGCAAGGAAACTATCCGGTGACCTGGCTGGGCGCTTTGCGGCTTTTCCTGTTTATCTGCACCCGCTACCTCACGCTTGAGGTTCCAAAGGTGCAACGGCTAAGGGGGGAGTGGCAACGACTGCCACAAAACCCACCTCATGCTCATGCTTTGGAATCCCCCTGCCCTTTCCCTTTTGCCAAAGACCTGCTCTGCATAAAGAGAAGGGCAGCAGCATCTTCTCCTCCCCCTCCCTTTGCCTCCTGCCTTTATACTGTACCATACCACAACAGCTTCAAATTCTCTGCCTTTAGATTAGCTTCAGTCCAAGGAATGTTAGTGCCAATCATGCATATACTAGGTAGGACAGAACACACCAGATAATTCCCTAGCTCGATCAGCAACTTGTCCAGTTCAGATGATCCCCTAGGATTTCTGTCTGCAAACACCAAACATGCTTGCATATATATACTGCTTTCGCTTAAAAGTTCCTAGAGAAGCAAAGCTCAATGCAAGTCAAGTATACTCAGGCCTGCTTATTTGCTGGTCTAACTATCCAGCCTTGCATCGCCAAAGAAGCATCAAATCTTTATCTGAAAACGACTCCTCGACGTCTGAGCATAGGCGCTCGCGGTCGCGACGTCCAAAGCCGACCACAAGATAGGCCACACAGCGCTGCTCCGCCCCAGGAATGGCGCCAAGTGTCACGCCTTTTTTTTTTTTCTCGAATACGCAAAAGATTTACGTATCATTGTATTAAGTAGAATAGTTTAAAGAAATATACAACGCGCTTCTATCGAGCGGCGAAGAAGGTCGACCTAAGTGTCACGCCCTGGATTCCACTGACACCCACCCTCCTATTAGTACTACTCTACACTGCACTTGCAGCTAGCGTTGGTGACTTCACTTCCCCCTTCGTTCCCCCACAAACTCATACGACAGTCGATCCATCACTCCCTGCAACAAGACACATAGCAGCAGGATAGGATAGGAGCCAGCCAGCCAGCCAGCCATGAGAGGTAGAGGAACAGGAGAAGACATATACACCCACATAGAGTGAAGGGAACAATCGCCCAGTCGGTCCTGCAGCTACAACAGGCTGCTGGTCTGGTCTTTGTGGTGCAACAAGTGCAAGTGACAAAACCTCCCCGATCCCTTCATGAATTATAACTTCGGCGCCAACGTTCTCGACGAGGAGGTCGATGGAAGAGGCGGCGGCGGAGGCGGGGAAGGAAGCTGCCCGGCACCAGCATGGGCCAGGCCCTGCGACGGGTGCCGCGCGGTGCCCAGCGTGGTGTACTGCCGCGCCGACGACGCGTACCTGTGCGCGTCGTGCGACGCGCGGGTGCACGCCGCCAACCGCGTGGCGTCGCGCCACGAGCGCGTGCGCGTCTGCGAGGCCTGCGAGCGCGCGCCGGCCGTGCTGGCGTGCCGCGCCGACGCCGCCGCGCTCTGTGCCGTCTGCGACGCGCAGGTCCACTCCGCGAACCCGCTCGCGGGGAGGCACCAGCGCGTGCCCGTGCTGCCGCTCCCCGTCGCGGCCATCCCGGCCGCTTCCGTGCTCGCCAAGGCAATGGCCACCACCGTGGCCGTGGGTGACAAGGAAGAGGAGGTCGACTCGTGGCTGCTGCTCACCAACACCAAGGATCCAGTTTCAGACAACAACAACTGCAATTGCAGCAGCAGCAACAACAACATCAGCAGCAACACCAGAACGTTCTACGCAGATGTTGATGAGTACTTTGATCTCGTCGGCTACAATTCCTACTGTGACAACCACTTCAACATCAACCCAAAACAGTACGGGATGCAAGAACAGCAGCAGCAGCAGCTGCTGCTGCAAAAGGAATTTCAAGACAAGGAGGGAAGCGAGTACGTGGTGCCTTCACAGGTCGCGATGGCCAATGAGCAGCAGCAGCAGCAGCAGAGTGGCTATGGAGTTATTGGGGCAGAGCAGGCTGCATCCATGACTGCCGGGGTCAGTGCTTACACAGATTCCATCAGTAACAGCGTGAGTCCATCTATTACTACTATTACTATCACTATCTATGCTGTCGTGTGTTTGTTTTGAGGTTTCAATGTTATTTTATACGTATAAGAGGTAAGTAGTCCAAATTTATCCCTACCATTTTACACTTCGTTTTGTGTTTTAGGAGTACTTTGCAACAGTTAAAAAAACATTGCACCTTTTTCAATCTTCAGAATTAACGTCCAGAAATTAAACCCCATCTACTACATATCATCGCAGGGTCGTCTATGACACCTGCAATCCCCTTATGATTCGCATATTTCAGTGACCATTTGCCGATTCCATCTCAGATATCCTTCTCATCATCAGTGGAGGTGGGTATTGTACCAGACAACATGGCAACGACAGACATGCCAAACTCCGGCATCCTGCTGACACCTGCTGGAGCCATCAGCCTCTTCTCGTCAGGTCCTTCGCTTCAGATGCCACTTCACTTGACCTCCATGGACAGAGAGTCCAGGGTCCTCAGGTACAAGGAGAAGAAGAAGAGCAGAAAGTTTGAGAAGACCATACGTTATGCGACGAGGAAGACATATGCAGAAGCAAGGCCGAGGATCAAGGGACGCTTCGCCAAAAGGTCTTCTGATATGGAAATCGAAGTGGACCAGATGTTCTCAACTGCAGCTCTGTTGTCTGATTGTAGCTATGGTACCGTTCCATGGTTCTGAAGGAACTTTGGTGAGACATGATTACCATATATATATGTAATAGGAACATGTGTTCCATAGTGATAAGGTCGAGTACGTATAAGTAGTTCTAGGAAACCGATGCTATGAGTGGTATTGTGTTTGTTTGACAACTTAAATGAACAATTACTTTAGCATTTGAGTTTTGGTTTGTAATTTCATATAGCAGGTCTACATATACTGTTAGTACCTGTTCAGTCACTCTAACATTTTTAAGTGAACAGAGAGCAAAATAAGTAAATAAAATGCAATTGGGAATTAGTGTGCAAATCATTCTTTGTTGCCACAGATTAGCAGCAGCATATAGCAGTAATGCTATGGAACAGGGACATGACTTCGTGATTCGAAACACTGTAGCTTGGATGGTTCATGTAAGAGGCGTGTTGGGGGAAGGGGTTGACGGCAGCTGTGGAGGTGGCGGCTAGGGTTGGGAGGCGGCGAGGGAGAGAGGGCGGCGCAGGCAGAGGGGAGGCGGCAGGCGCAGGGAGAGGAGGAGATAGGAAGGAGCAATCGCTCGTCTATTGCTTAGTTTAATTGATTACATCCCCTAGTATTTATAGTCCCTATAGGACTTAGACTCCACGCAACCTACGGGAGATCCTTATAGGATTGGATTCTCCCTTCCATACTAACAAACTCCAATTCCATAACTAACCAAACTCTATCCAAACTCTAATAGACTCGATATGGTAACTTGGGTAGCGACGGCGGGATCGACCAGAGCGACGGCGCCCTCCCTCCTAGGCGCTTGCGGCCCCTAGGGCGTGCTGGTGGTGGCGCCTGGCGCCCCTCCTTGGGCCCCTCTCGGCCCGTTAGTTCTAGGTTGGGGGGCCTCCATTGGGCGTATGACACCACCCCCTTCTCCACTCGGCGCGTCCTCGTGCTGAAGTAGGGTCCAGTCATCGACGCCAGCTAGTGGAGAAGCTTCGCCGGGAAGAATAGCCTCGATGCGGCCAAGCATGCGGCCGTAGATGGGGTCGGCGATGATGATGTGTCTCCCGTGTGCGTGTTGGCGAAAACTCGAAGCAGTAGAGGAGATTGCCGATGTAGCCGTAGAAGAAGTAGAGGTGCGCGCCAGTGTTCGTGCCAGCTCCTGTCGTCTGGCGAGCCGCAACAAGTAGAGGTCGCGGTATGGCTGCCCTGAATATGAAGTGCGCCATCTCTCTTGGTGGAGCAGTGAAGTCCTGGATGCGGTTGTCGGCATCGGGGGCGAGGTAGGCAGGGATGCGTCGCCAAACTGTGGCGCTTGATCGTGTTGTTGGCGACGTTGTCAAGTCTAGCATGGTGCCGAACATGAAAGAGCCCAAGTCGAACTTGCTTGGCGAAAGACGGTGTGCGGTGGAGTCGGGTCACTACAAGAATCTTGTTAATCCGTGATGAAATCTTTTCAGTCACAGATCACCAAAAAAATGTCACCAAGCAGCATCTGTGACGATTTCATATATCATCATGGATTAACGTCCGTGACATTTTGTCGAAAATCATCACAGATTAACGGAATCGGTGACGATCTTAAATTGTCACGGTAGAGCCCGAGGCCTTGTTAGCCCAGCCTAAGTCCATTTCCTGTGACGAAAAATAAACATCACGGATGAATTGCCACGTCATCATGGATGTTTATGTGGATGATGATGTGAACACTACCTTAGCCCATTTATTAATAGGCCAAAATCTAAGATAGGCCAATTTTTGGCCTAATTTTAGCTATTTTCGCAGCTCTTTTTCAGCCATTTTGGCAGCCCAGTTTCAGCCATTTTGGCAGCCAAGTTTTAGCCATTTTGGCAGCCAAGTTTCAGCCATTTGCAGCCCTATTTCGTCATCGAATTTTAGCACTTTTCAGCCCACTACTACAGCACATACAGCTCATATACAGAACCCATTTTCACACATACAACCCATATACACAGCCCATAAAGCTAATAATTATAGCAGCACATCAAATAAATAATCTTATGCTTCCATCAAACATATCACATAAATTTTCATCCAACGTCAGATTACATAAGTTTCCATCCAACATTCCATTCAACCTTGCAGTTTACAACAAATAGAGATTCTAAAAATACATACAACTCCATCTTATTCCATGCAGCAGTGGCAAAATGCATTCATGCGGTGACAAAATGCAAGCACCAGCAGCAGCAAAATGCAAGCACCAGCAGCAACGGCAAAAGATATACCATGTATAGCTTAACTTGATCGAATTTGACTTGACACAAGTTAGCAGCAACAAGATGCATGAAGTTAGTAGCAAAAGATATAGCACATGCATGTATTAACTTGGTCGAACTTGACTGAGCAAAAGATCAAGTTTTGCTTCCATTTCAGATTGAGTCCTCTTCATCTCCTCTCGGTCTATAATCCTTGCCTCCTCAGATTCTTGCACTTTCTTTGACAAATCAGCCACCTGGACACGAAGCTCAGCATTGGCCCTTTTCTCTGCTTCCAGTTCTGCCTCAGTGTTCTGCTCACTGGATCTAGGCCGAGCATTCTTGAACCCCACATTCTGCAAAAACTTATTATTCTTGGTGTTCTCAGCAAGCACATCACCAACAACCTGAGCCGCAGACTTGATTTCTTCACCTTATGTTGTTGTAGACAGCTTGTTTTCCATTTGAGTCTAGCAAGCAAGTAGCAAACATGGTTGATGATGAGAGAATTAAAAACAAGCATTACAAAGAGCAAAGTCTGAAAGTTATCTTACAATAGCCTCCTGTACAGCAGGGGCATAGCATTTTTTGTTGTTGCTATAGTGGAACTCTTTGAACAAATCAAATGCATCAGGTTCTTCATCATCGTATTTGTCTCCCTGAGAACAACATTTATATGCATCAGGTCCGGCATGAATCAGGGCTTACAAAAATCAAGACAGAATCAGGCATACACATATAGAGAATTAGGCATACACATATAGGACAGCTACTGTTCAACTATAAAGAAAATAAGTAGCAGCAACTGATGTTGAACTCCATGGGAAAAAAACACAGATGCATCAGGTGCTCACGCTAAGTGTTCTAGAGACAAGTAGCCTGCCATGAATTACGTGGAATGCCTATTTGGTCATGTTGCCTAGCTAGCTTCTCATGCTAGTGCTCAGGTGATCAGTATGCTAGCTGTTTTGTTCTGTTCATAGGTCTGCACAAAACACAGGGTGCATGGAGTGGAAAGCCAGCGACATGTCACCATAATACTCGGTTCAGGCGTCATTGAAACATATACTAATACTAGAAAATACTTGATCTAAATCACTTAATTTTCATGAACACACATGTTGTAGTGCTTACTACAGTAGTAATTAGGACATTAATGTTTCTTAGTGGATTACCCCCCTCCCCAGTATTCAGTCACGCTCTGCCACTGGCTACTGTTGAAATGAAAAGAATCCTAAGTAGCAGCAGCTCACTACATCCATATAGCAATATTTTCTCCTGTAGCAACACAGATTTATATATGGGCGGCACAGATTTATAAATGTCAAACAAGTGCCATTTATATATATGCACAGATTTATAAATACCAAACAAGTGCCATTAATATAAATGCCAAACAAGTGCATCAAATGTTGAGTTACAGCAGCTACTATTCAAATGAAAAGAATCGTAAGTAGCAGCAGCTCACTAAATCAACACAGGAATAATTTCTCCTACAGCAACAGATATTTATATATGTGCAGCACAGATTTACAAATGCCAAACAAGTGCCATTTATATATGTGCAGCCCAGATTTATACAGCAACACCGATTTGCCATTCATATATGTGCAGCAACACAAATGGACATGGTTCACTTACCAAATTTTCAACATGAACCATGTAGGCACGGGATCCAGTTGTATGATGGTACTTAACATTCCCTCGATTGTCTTTGTTCTTTTGACATGTCTCCTACATCAAAGACAAAATACATGTAAGGTTGGTGATAAATTAGCATGTACAAGGCAACAATCTTTCTTTCAGAGAAAACATACCATCTTTTTGGGACTCTTCCATAACTCTAAAAGTTTAATCCACTGTTCATTATTCATGCATTTGAGAGAAGTTTTTGTAACCAAATGTAGTGGAAAAGGATCAAAATATTCTTGCTTCAGCCTGTATCTTTGTTGGCGAACTGTAGACTTCATCATCTCACGACAAGCCTTTTTAACTGTCGCATCCTCTGTGTTTATGTCAAACTTGGCCTAACCGAATGGAAGAACATGTATAAAAAAGAATATCAAATCAGTAATTTATGGCATAAAACAGTTTACAAAGAATGGTTCTCATATTGAGACTAAATGTGGGAAGGACTGGAGAATGTATGTACCTTTAGTTTTCCTATGAATAGATCAACGAACGCAGATTCAGGTTCTTTCTTGTATAGCTTCCAGTGCGTGAGTATAGGCACATGGTTCCTAACTATGATGTTGCATTCAGTTACAAACTTTGCAGCAACAAGAGGAACCACTGGCCTTATATTCCCTTCAGTTATGACAACTTGTAGCTTTGCCACGGCGCGCTCGGTTTAACCTTTGGAGACCACGTCCCATATTAAGTCCCCGATCCCTTCTCTCCTCTCCCCCTAGTTGGAAATGTACATTGAAATTAAAATTAGTGAGGTGAAGCACACATTGATCCAAGCTGATCATGAATTTAAAGCTTTGCATACAAACATTGATCATCCACTGAGGCAATATGGAATATGGAAAACAGATGAACAAACTATCACCTTCGTTGGTAATCTAGTTGTGGTCACCATGTTGGGTAATGCCATCAGCTACGTCAGCCACGAGGGTGTTGTCATCATGATGGGTGAAGCCATCTAAAAAGGGCAGCCAGTAAGAATGCATTCATCATATAAAAAAAACTTATGGAACGACAGTAAGAATCCGTCACCTCCATTGTCCATATGGCTGTGCTGATTAGGCTGGTCAATTGCATCAGCCCCAGTGGTCATGTGAGTGTTGTCAAGTAGAGCAGAGATATCACCTAAAATTAATGGCAATA